CAAATATATAGGACGCAAACACCAGTGTCGTGTCTTATTTACAAGGAAGTTAATTGGACTGAGAATAGACCAGAGTGACTTACTTTAACAGACTATGAAAAAGCAAAGAAGATTACAGCAGTAATGAGAGTATAGATATTTTTTTAAAAACCACTGCAGTGAGACAAAAATTAGGTATAAATATTTGGAATAGAATACAAACCACAGAGAAAATGATGCAGTTCTTTAGACATTTTCAATACATTTGTCCAGTTCGCCAATACATTTGAAGCCCAAAACCTACAATTATATAACATTTAAAAAAGAACAAACTCTAAAAATCAAACAGGCAAACAAATCTGCATTTATAAATCAGGATAATAATAGACGATTAGAAAAAAAATTATGCTAGTGATCATCCTGACAAAGAAATCCTTCAAAGAAAAGGTTTATGCAAAAGTAGCATGTTTAAAAAAAAAGCTGACTGAACACAGGGGACACCTAGTATTAACATTTTTTTTTTGTTGCAGAATCACCGTCTGCACCAAGAATTTGTTTCAAGCTTTTCTTATTTGCTTTGCCTTCAAAAGAAGATAGAGCACTGAGGTAAGCATTCAGACATTTTAAAAAATACAGTTTTTCTCCAAGACACTTTACTTGGAGGAAACAACAACAAGTGGAACTTACACTATATCATACCAGCTTTGTTACACTTATTATATTAATTATTTTCATTTCTTTGATGGGATTGCATGCTAACGTGCATTCGCACTGCAAAGTATTTGTAAGAGTAAGAGAACGGCCGCATCTCCGAAACCCTAAAAGAAAGCCCAGATCCAATTACATCACTGACTTTGAAATCATATCTCCTGTCTATTAAAACTTCTGTATCTCTATGCCATTTCGATATATATAATTTGCTCTTCTGAAAAATGATAGCACCTACAAAAAGTAGTTTTTTTTAATTAAACACTGCAGCCACTGCATGAACCAAATAATCATGCTTGTCAAAGTTGCTAAAACATTAACACTTTATCAGCATGGACTATAAAAAAGTTGCATAGTGCTGTATTGCTATAACTAAAACTTTGAGTAATAAAGAGTAGTCTCAAAGTTCCAGTGTAAAAAATAATTAAGAACAAAACAAAATAAATTTTTTTCATGTATAACTTTCATTTAGAAAAATTCACTTTTTGAAAATAACTAGAAGTACCTAGAAAAAAATCAAGTCATTTTGGGAAATGTACAAATTTGTGTTAAATACTTTCCTTATTCACATTGCATCCTAGAGACTCTGCAGCCACATTTTTACACTTTTCAAATATATATTCCAACAAAATCCACAAAGAATTTTCATAACTTTGTGAGAGTTTAAAGGCAATACAGTAGTCTCCGCCTAAAAGCACAGTACTAAAGAGGGCTTTTAAGTCTAAGTGTTCATTCACACGAAGAGTGTTTATGTGAACTAGTGCAAAGAAAGAAAGGGACACAACCATCTCATTTCCTTGATATTTTAGTGACGTCCCTTGGGGGGTGGAAGCGTAAAATTTTATCAATAATGCAGCAAAATATGATTGTTCTGTAAGGCATTCTCTCTGATCATGGTTAGGACTCTAAAGGTTTTGAATGAGTTGTGGAAAAAAGCAGAAAGACTGATTCACTGTATTGATGTGCACTAATATGTTGGGAACAGATAAGAGGAAACTGTTAGTGATAGTCGTATAGGGAAAAGCGCTCAGCCACATGGCCTTCCAGGTGACCACTCCCAACTGCCTGTCATCAGTTGTAACTTTTGGGATCACATAAGATATTCTGAGAGACTTTTCTCTGTGATTCATTGAACAAGAACATGTAATTATAAGTTCTTTCAGTGCAGCTGATCACTTGACAAATCTTTTATTCTACGCCTATCTAGTGTTCTACAGCATTCACATGTGTTGCGCATCACAGTTCTAACTAAAGATTTCAGTCACCCAAACACCAGTTTATCTATCAAAAGACGCATTTCAAGTGACCAATTGAAAGACATTTCAGCCTCCAAACACATCTCTTGCCCAGTCCTATGTGTCCCAGTAGGATGGGATAATGCTATCCATCGTTTTAATGGTGCTGTGTGAGAAGCAGCCTCACCAAACATCTCTTTGTCTAGACTTGTCTTTGTTGTAATAATGCACACTGTCTACGTTGTTGCAAAGACTTCCCTCTGTCAAGCTTTATTTATCAACATATTTCGCGGATCAAAGCATGCGTTTAGAGGACATAATCATGCATTTGTATGTCTAAATCATACAGTGAAAAACCTGTCATATGACAAAAGCATGCATCTGAGCAGAGAGTGCCTTTGTACGGCATACATTAGGTTGAGGCTACTGTAACACCATGACAAATTATGAGGGAGCAAATTTTTTAGTTTTACAGATCAAGACAGGTCAACAAGTGAAAATTTATAGTAAGAGACAATTATAAAATAATTATAAATTACTTCTATAGGTTATCTAAGGTAGATAAATAAATTCCTTCCATCCCCTAAGTAAAACTCTTGTATTATTAAAATTATAGAATATAAATTCATGATGCCAATTGTTCTGAACTGAAAAATGGCTAGAATTCTAAAGAATGTTTGAGTGATGTGGAAATTTGATATTAAGAATAAAATAAAGGGCAGTGTAATTGGTAAAAAAACAACTCAACTAAACATTGGAACATGTGTATACATCATTTGATGTAAATGGGTAAAATATAAACCAGCCTTCTCAAACACACAAAAAAGTACAAGAACACAGTTCTCTAGAATGTCAATGGTAAAAATACAAAAAGTTACACACTGTTTTTTCACAAAGTCTTCAACAATGGACTATCAATGGCTAAAAATGTGCACACAAAGCTAAAAAAAAGAAAGTTCAGTTTTCAGCAGTAACACTCTGATCAATAAATCTCACACATAGAGGCTACAAGACTTCTCTAAGGTTTTTCAAAAAAACTTTAAGAGAAATGTACCTTGAAAATGTATAGTCAGAGGATTTCACCAATAAAGAAATACAGCACATTATTTAAGTTTTTAGCAGTAGAGTACTAAATTATATAGGAATAAATCTTGGACGATATCAGTGCCCACAACAAGACAGTGACAAGAAACAAAGACAAGAGAAGTGACAAACTACTAACAGGGCAGTCTGATCACTTGGCTTTAGTTTTAGATAGAGTTTTATGGCACTTGCAACTCAATAAGGTCATATAACCTATAAGTGCGATGGTTAGAGGTGTTACAAAAGAGTAACAAACGCAAAAAAAGGAGGAAGAGAGTCAGGACGATGTTTGATAGGAAAGGAGAAGCAAACCCCATTAGAGCACCCACCAACCAACAGCTCACTTGACTTTCAGTGGCTGATGAGGTTGTGTAAAAAAAGAAATAAAAGTGGATGAACACATAAAGCAGGGTGGTGTTTTGTGCTCTGGCATGAGATTGGTTATCCCCGTCAGAAGGTTCTAAAAACTGCCTCCACAACAATCCTGAAAACAGAACTCATGACATCAGTCCAATCTGGTCAAGACTTCAACTTCTCTTCACCGTTCTTGAGTCAGTCTCACCATACAACTAAAATTTTTTTTACATTGTAACATTGAAGGATTTGAAATTTTGTTCCAACAGTCAGGAGCAGTGTACTGTCACCTCTGATGATTAATATCCCATCATCAGACAGTCACATCAAATATGATTAGTTACACACATACAAGACAAGCAACTCAAAATAGAAACTGATGAACACAATAGAATCAAGTAATAGGCTCAAGTCAGACATGTCTCTCCAGCTTTGTCTGACACCAAATCATCTGCAGCACAATATTTGACAACATGGAGACACAGTGGTATCCACTTATTTCATTTTAAAAATAGCTTCAACATAATGAATGAAGCATGCTTGCATAACATGCTTCTCATTTCAAACAACTGATACACGAGACAAACCTAAATCAAGACACATAGACTTTCTCCATGTCTGTGGTCAATTGTCGACAAATGGGGCATCGTCCGTCCAGTTTGGAGACACACAGAGCACAGCAGCACAGATGGTTACATGGACGCAGCAAGACCTGCATGGGAGCGTCAAGACACATTTGGCAAGTCACCAAATTTACATCCTCGTTGCGACTGCTGTTCTGACTTTCTCTTACATCGGGGTCATCAGATTTGTCTGAGGATAAGAGGGAGGATAATGTGACTTTGCATTCTGTATATATCCTCATTTAAAAATGACAGTCATATGTTTGGATTTACTTAAAACTGAATGAAAATCATTATCAGGAATAAATCTCTTGTCAACAGTCCAGCTGACAAAAAACTGCAGTTAACAAAACCGCCCCTGTATACATATAGGCATATAGGCCTACTGAAAGAGCCAAAGATGGTAGCTACCTGTCATTCAAGAACAAAACGTGCACATGTATGTTTTCAGAGAGATTTTATTGATACAATGTCTAGCCTGTGTGGCACAGTCAAACAATAGACGTGGGCACTCAGATCATATGGCCCACACAGTGCACTGTATATTTCACCATCTGTCACAAGAACAAGCAGACCAGAACAGTATAAATGTCATCATGTACTCCATCTAATTCATTAGGAAGAAATCCAGTTTGTGCATAATTAAATAAAAAATCATCAATTCCAATCTTTGTAATTCCCCCCTCCCCCTCCCTCCCAACAAAAACAAACAAAAAACAAAATCTCTCACAAACAGAATTATGACATGAGTATAAACAGATACATTGTAGGCCCTACGCATCTATGCTTTATCTATAAGATAATTTCAGTCTCTTACATTGTCTCAATCCCCACTGAGAACTGACGTAATCTTACTTGAGTCAAACATGTAATCAATAAAAGCAACTGAAAACAATCCCCCCTCCCAAAAAACAACCAAATAAACAAACAAACAAACAAAACAACCCCAAACAAAACAAACAATTAAACAAAACTAATCACCAAAAATAACACATTGTCCCATTTCATTCCGAACATCAGTTTGAAGACTTGGAGTAGTTATCATTAAAGATTAGAATCTCAAAAGTATGTTCTATACAATGAGTAACAGCACAATAGCGACAGTTGCCATCCCCAACATCAACTACAGAGCAGAGCATGTGAGGGACATACACCTCACCACAGACAGTGTGTATAGATCTGAACATCACAGGCAAGCCAGAATTTCGTTCTAGTTATACTGAGAGAACATTATCAAGAACAAAATCCATTCTTACAGCAGGGTGCTCTCTTTCAGTGGTTATCATGCTGGCTTACAGAATAGGTGACCTAGATTCAAATCCTCAATGGGGCATTCTTGAGCTTGTGTTGTTTGAGGAAATTTTAACAGTTCTGTTCACACTTGCGCACAGCATTATTAGAGAAGGTCATAAATCAGATGTCTTTATCCTGTTTTGAAAGGGGTGGTAAAAACCTATACTTTTTTAATCTGTTCTCAAAAGAGACAATGAATAGATTTGTAAAAAGAAGGAAATCCACAAGGACAAAAAACGTGTTCACAAAAGTACCTTCTGAGTCAAATTCAACTTTGCCAACAGGAGCTGACTGAGGTCTGAGACGTTCGCGAATTTCTTCCAACTCTTGTCTCAGCATAGAAAGTTGTAGATCTTTGGTGTGGATAACCTGGCGATTCTCTTCTATTACCTGTAGATTCTCTTCTATTACCTGTAGATTCTCTTCTATTACCTGGTCTTTTTGTTCAATAACCTGCAAAAGATTTTACAAAGTATAAAAACAAATGTTAAAATTTAATCTCTGAGAAAAACGAAGGGAACATCCCAGTTTATACTAATTCTACATACCACATGTGTAATCAAAATATTGGAATTCTACGTATCTACTTCAAAGAGCAGACAAAAAATTCTCTACCATGCAGATGGTCCTGAATTGAGCCCAATTTTATCCAAGTAAGAAGCTAGAATGTGTTGAGAAAAAACCAGCCTGCAAAGAGAGGAAAGTGTCTCAAAGCAGAGTGATTTTTTATGAGATTAAAGGTAGACAGAAACTGCAGGCCTAAGAAATGTCCACATTTCACTTCCCATTGCACAAATGTTGAAGACAAACCTTCCCCATATATTATATGTGCTAATCAGACCAATCTTACATCATCATCATGAAGGAATAACAAATGAGAGAGAGAGAGCGAGAGAGAGAGAGAGAGAGAGAGA